CCGGTACTATATTTCTACCTGTATATATTTCATGCTGCAATTAATGTATCTTACTGAAGAGGACACATAGTTAAGTCAAAATATGTTTGCACTTAAAGTGCCAATGACACGAAATTCTTATTCTTTTTAATACGACTTTTTCTAAAACTGTAATGACTATCTTTTTATTTGCATATTATAAACGCTTCATTTGTTCCAAAGTTAAATATGGAAAGTTGATGTAAAAAACCAATTCAGTTTAAAGTGAACTTTTATATAAGAGAATAAAAAAATTCGCGTCATGGGCAATTTCAAAGTATGAATATTATTGTCGTTTATTTGAAATGCTTCATGCCTGTCAATTTATAGTAAACAGTTTTCCCACGAGTTTGTTCCAGTAATTCTTGAATAGTCAGTGTATGCTTTTTACTGTAGAACTATCTAATATATAATGAAATCTAATATACGTATAAAATCATCCATGACCCCAAATCATGAAACCTTACAAGGCAAGTGACATATTTCACAGTTGAAAATAGAGAATGTATTGTTATAGCAAGTTGTTGGCTCCAAGGATGTATTCAAGTGCGCATATATAGAAGTATAAGGGCTTTTTTAATGCTTCGTATAACTTCTTTCAAACTTTTTAGTTACCAATAACGTTTTTAAAATTTTTTCAAGACACGAGCTCTTACTTAGCTTAAATAATTATTATGCGATTCAACACCCACACAATTCAACTTAAACGGCAATAGATAGCAAATATCTACTGGACAAAATTCTTGTAAATTAAAACTATACTAGCAGGAAAAGGTTTATTATTACTAGTTTCATTATGACAATCAGTTACTTACAAAGACGACTTTTTTAAATCATCATTTTATATTATAAATTTCGAATGAAGTGATTAATATTGTTTTCAAAATTGCCAAATGTATTATAAAACAGTAAAAACGTATCATAGTATTCATTACGCTTCAAATTTTGCCGACTACATATGTTTTAAAAGCACAACGGCTTGAGTGTCTCTTTTCACACACAAAGGCTAGAGCACCCAAAAGAATATTGAAGAGTCCTACTATACTTCAATTTAAGAAAAGCCAAGGAACTAAAAGCAACACAACGAAAAGCGAAAGAGCCCAAAAACTATATCAACAAAAAATAAGTTCGTTGTCAGACCAAGTCATTCATGTCTCTCCCTGGAAAATACCCTGTCCCCAAATACCTAACTGCTAGTGGTGGGTATTGGTTGGTATTTCATAATCGATCATTGAAAATGCCCACAACCGATCAACATCATAAGAAGGCAGGGTAAAAAACCTGTTGAGTTTATTAAAATGTTATTAGAACTTACAGAGAAATATAACTAATCCCTATCTAATCTCTAACAAATAGGGATCAAGTGCATCAATTTTTGGGTATAGCATTTGCCCCTTGGGAAAAGCACTTGCTTGTATAGATGGCCTCAGTTTTGTCTCTTTTTATAACTTGAAGCTAATACCTTGATATAATGTGTTAAGAATGTAATCCCTTCATCGGTCCAAATGAGGGAGTCTTCCTCTCAGGATAAATTAAATTTTTACTTGTGGTGTTGGCCTTGAACAAAACGCAAATTATGCTTAACTTGCAGAGGAGAAAACCAGTTAACTCCTTTTTTTGTTTTGAAGAGCTAATGCTTTGCCAGAAGAATAATTTTGCCATTCAGTGGGGGTTTTGATGGTACTTCAATATCCTTGGAAAATTTCATCTAAATTAAATAGTTTGTCTTCAGAGTCAATGAAAATAGAAGCAAAATTGCGCGATTAGTAATGGCATACCCAGCTCAATAATTGAGAAGGCTGAACTAAGTTATTTTGAAATCAACTGTTTACTGCAGATTTTAAAATGTATGTATGAATATCCCCCTTCCCCCAGTTATGATGCTAGCTAAGCCACTGATGATTGGATATTTTGGTAAATAGAAATCGATATTGTGTTTTATGCTGCCGTTGCATCAAAAGTAAAATTTATTTAGCCCCTCGTAAATTTATTTAACCATCAGTAAAATTTTTCCAGCCCCTACTCCATTTTAGTCTCCCCTCTCCCTTCAACTTATCAAAATACATTAAACCTTGTAGAGGGCTAAATGGTTGAAATACAGTAACTGATAAGCAGTTTATTAAAGTTCCACAATACCTAATGGCAATATGATAGATGATTCCTAAAGTATAAATTGCAATGGCTATGATTATTTCCAGCAAAATACCACACATGCACTCACAATGAAATCATCTATCAGTTTCTTCTCTTTTCTATCAGTTTCTTCAGTATCATATCTTTTTCTGAGTCATCTATGAGTTTATATTTTAGTGATAACAATATTACTGATGATTCAAATAGTGCAACACTGAACCTCGTAACCTCCTATCGTCAATAAAAACTGTTTTCAACGAAACTGAAAATATCCCAGAAAACCAAGCAGTTGAAAAACATATGATAGGGAGGCAGTTCATCATAGACTGTTCTACTTTGATTGCCTAACAAAGTGACCGGAAAAAATGACGGGTTTCTTTTAATTTGGTCTATTTTTGTGATGAATTGGTTTCACTACCATGTAAAGACACAAATAAATACCTACAAACTGATTTTAAAAGTTTCAAACGTTTTTTAAAAAGAATACAAAATAAGCGAAAATTCTCACGTGCAAAATGCTTGCTCAATACACAGGCTGTGGCGTTTTGCTTGCAAGTGAAGATCACCACTTTTCCCAAATAATAAGCTGAAGATCAACGAGTCTGTACTTAAAATCTCAAGTCAGTTTTGTGATTTGTCTTACAGAAGCAAAATTTAGATGAAGATTGTAATTTTTAAAGGCTTGAAATGACTTCAATGAAGATGAATGCTTGAAAAATTACCAAGCAACGTAAAGCAGTCTTTCTCTTAGTGTTTTTCATGGATGATATTTATCCATTAAAGACAGCCCTTGATTTAGATCAGGAAACTTTGGGTAACTTCTGCATATGATATACAATGCTCAAAAATCATTTTTTCGTCTTTAGTTCTTAGTCTCACTGTGTGTCGTCTCTTTACTTCAGGAACAATTTACAAAGATGTAAGTAAAATAGAATGCATTTCTAAATCCTCTCTGATGTTTTTATTTTTGAGAGCACGGATGTTTTGAAAAGACAATTCAAAGAACTTTGTCTTTAGGCTCTTATCACGAGAGGTGAAATCCGTTTATTTCATAACATCAATGTTCATTTGCAGGGCATCCCGTTTCTTACTTATTCATCTATGTATTCAATAATAGTATTAGAACAATTACAAGAATATTATTAAAGATAGCATAAGAAGTACATAATAAAAACTTAATGTTCATTTATCAATATCAGCTAAGTTCATGGGTTTGTTTAGATTGAGTCTTAATACGAAACATTTAGGATAACAGATGCAAGCTTCAAGTAAATCTTGTCGGAAAAAGGAAGTTACATACAACCTGTAGACTGACTAAAGAAATCATTTTAATGCTGCATGTGAAGAACAGGTATTTGTGCGCAGGATTTTGTCTTTATATTTATGTTTATGACACAATAACTATTGATTGCATGGATGAAATACAGTATTATTTACTGACTTGATTTATTTATTACGGAGATAATAACTGTAGAAATAATTTCTATCTCGTAGTTCAAGAAGATTAAGCTGTAGCACTTTCAGAGGTGCCTTGCCAATGCATACGCGTTAAAATGGGTTGAGTTAGTGAGTGGGCCGAGTTGACCGGAGAAACCGAGTAAGATGCAAGGTCAAGTAAGTTGCTTTACTTTTGATGAGCTGCTACTCCATACATGTGGTATGGAAATCAAAATCCAATTTTTCCTGGTTTAAAGAGAATTCCAAGTAACAATGAACTACAATCTTTGGGATTTGAATTAGAAATCCATATTTCTTATGGAGCATCAATTTTCCACTGAAGATATCTTGCTATTTATATATGGAAAGAGGGAAAGTTTCCCTCACAAATCCCATCAGCTTAATAAAAAAATTCCTACATTTATGAGACACTTTAGAGAGTACTTTAGCAAAATGGTATGAAGTGGCTCCATCGTAATTAACTAAAAGTATTATTATGAGCACAATTGAGATGAGACCCCAATATAATGAAACATCATAACCAGTATATTAACATCATCTCAACCCCAGCTTGCCCCAAAAAAAGTGATAAGACAAACTGAATAAGTTATCTAAATCAGAGAGAAGCATCGATATATTTTCCCACCTGTCTTTCTACTTCATTTAAGTCCAGCCGGCTAGAGAAATGAGAATTCCAAATGGGTCTCTTTTTCTCATATCTTTTCCGTTCGCTTTCCGTCTTTGCAAGACATCTTCATCGCGAAGAGCCATTGCATCGTAAAAAAGATCTCTGTTAGTAAGTCCGTGTTTTTCACTTATTCTTTTGCTCATTGTAAATGGCAGGGGTAAACACGGAATGCGTGTGATAACAGTTTTAATTCCTGTAACGCGTTTATATAGTGAGAAAGAAAAGTACATTAACAACATTTGGTTGCTAAGCAACTCCCGGAGACTATATACTTGAACTTGCGGATTAAATATAGAATTGGGAGGAAAATTTTTAAATAAAATATTTTAAAAGTGCTGAAAGTAAATTGCTTTGTTCATTGAACAAGCTTCAAAAAAGAAATTAATTGATGTTATGCTTTGAATTATTAGATTTTAGTATGTTCATATTTACAGAATAATATTAGATTTTAGTATGTTCATTTTTTAGTCCTGAGCACCAGGACCGCTAACTACACTCTAATAGTAATCATCACTATCAAACATAAACAGAATAAAAGTGAATACATACGTACATGTTGTCACTATATACTTTATAAAGACGGAAGATATATGATTATTTATTGCATAAATTCATCAATTTTAGCATATTTTAAATTCATCCAAAATAACGCATCGTTTGAATTGGAATTCCTCGAATAAAGACTTTCTTTTCTAAAAGTGAAAGTTATTAGCATGATAGCCCTACCAGCAGGAGAGGAAATTTAACGAGCAGCCAGTGAAGAAAAAATAACAGGTACAAGCTTCAAGTGAATTTTGTCGGAACAAGGAAGTTACATATAACCTCTCGACAGACTAAAGAAATCATTTTATTGCTACAAGTGCAGAACAGGTATTTGTGTGCAGGATTTTGTCTTTTCATTTATGTTTATGACATAATAATTAATGATTGCATGGATAAAATACAATATTATTTACTGACTTGATTTATTTATTACGGAAATAATAACTGTAGAAATAATTTCAATCTTGAAGCATTCAAAGTCAACTTTGATTTTTTTCGTGTCATCGTCGTCTTTTTATCAAAGAACGTATAACTAAATTATCAATACTAACTTTACGAAGCATCGTTTCAGACCAGATTTCTAACATTCTTTTCACGCCATATAGAAAACATTTAATAGTGTGTATAAATAAAAATGAGCAATTAGAAATATAGTCATCTGACAGCTAATCCTTCCAAAGTAAATGTAATGTTACGTAGACGTCACATAACATGGGCAAAATCAAAGGAGCTTTATAGACATAAAGGAAGGGGGCATATGAATATTTGGAGAATATAAATCTCATAAAGCAGAGCTAAAACAAAACTGTTGCACTTGTCGTTACGATGAGCTCTTGCCCATATGTTAAATAAAAATTCTACTCCAAATTGTTACCCTGCAACTATAAACTCAATTTTATCTCTGAATAATAAACGCTAACAGCTAAATAAAACATAAGGAAATGAAGCAAAATTTTAAACTAAGACGCTTGTCGTTAACACCCAAACATTCCATGATGAGAGAGTAGTTTATAGAATAGTCGTACGAAAAACGCAAAAAAACTAACCTTAACTGTAAAATAACAATTTGATATTGTTTAGAACTTATATACTATGGCATTAATAAGAGATGTAAAGATGTTTACGACATAGACGCGCTTTAAAACAAAAAAACCCAACAACACTAAACTCATTTGAAGCAATTCATCTAAACAATGCATAAAATGCCTTCCCCATCAACATAATAACTTTATATCAGGGGCGTATCTAGGGTATGTCAAATGAGTCACGCGACATATGTTTATAACTCAAAAATTATTTATCAAATTTAATGATTAGAATTTTTTTGATCATTAAATTTTCGTTCGGTAATCGTTTCGATTTCATCGTCAAAATTCTGTTTTATATATGAAAACTTACACAAATATCACCTTCGTAAACTGATCAGTAGATAAAAACATATCTAGAATTATATTAACTGGCTGAATGATAAGCGGGATGTCTCGACTGGTTCGACCGATAACGGAGACGGAGTCCAAGAACGCTTATTTAAGTCATTCCATTGGTAATAGCCAGATCAGTAAACGATCTGGAATAATCTCGACCGATAAGCGGGGTGGCCGGATTTATAAGGGAGTCCAATTGCTATCGTGTAATTGGCTCGTTCAAATTTTTGTCTTAGTATGATTGGTTTGACCGATTTCGACTGATAGCCAAATAAACTAACATAAAGTAAATGGTTTGAGCCCGGGAGTATCGTTATATGTTTGTAAATGATGATCGTCCAGGTTAATAAAGTCCTGAGAAGACTGTCTTTGTTGTTGTTGACTAACGTTTCGACAACCTTAGCGGCAGTCATCTTCAGAGTCAAATGAGGAGTAAACGTCAGGTTAGCCGTATTTGTTATCTGGTTCTTACGTCATTGTATTGTGTGTACAGGAAATGTGTATTGTCATTGTGGATTAGTGTGAAGTGAAATATTTTATTTTTAGTTGTGATGTGTGATTTAGGTGTGACGATTTTAGTTGTAATGTGTGGGTGTCAATTGTGTATTGTCATTGTGAATTAGTTTGAAGTGTAATGTTTTTAGTTGATCGTTTGTTTGTATTGTGAATAAGTCGTTTGTAAGGTGCCGGTAATTGCTGTGATCTGTTCAGAGTGCTTTGTGATTCGGTGATGTTCGGCAATGTGATTAGTTTTGTCTTGTTTCTTAGTAGCTCGTTTGTGCTCAGTAAGTCTTACGTTTAAGTTCCTGCCAGTTTCCCCGATATAGGAGGCGTGGCAGTCGGAGCAGTTTATTTTGTAAACTGCACCTTGTCGTTCGTTGGGTTGTTCTTTGTCCTTTATGTTCGTTAGTACTTTTCGTAACGTTGTGATTGGTTTATGTGCGACACGTATGTGGTATGATCGTAAGATACGCGAGATGTACCTTTGATGTAAGGTATCGTTGCTGTTGTCACTGGGTTGTTCGTTTCGTTGGGTTCGTTGGGTTTGTAAGTGTTGCGTTTGATAAAGTTAGAGTTATAGTTATTTTTGTCAAAAACACGTTTGAGATAGTTGTTTTTGTTTTGTAGAGCGTCCGGTGAATCACATATGATTTGTGCACGTCTTGTTAATGTTCTGATTGTGGTGGCTTTGTGTGATGTAGGGTTGTAAGATGGTTGGTCTAGTAGTCGGTCAGTATGTGTTGGCTTGCGATAAACTGTTGTTCCTAGTTTTTGATTGTCATGTTTTACCAAACAGTCGAGAAAAGGAAGAGTTCCGTTTTCTTCGACATCTTTGGTAAATTGTATTTGGCTGTTCTGTTTGTTGATGTGAGTATGGAAGTCATCAATCTCGTCTGCATGTAGTGCTGTGATTGAGTCATCTACGTAGCGAAACCAAAAAGGTAGTGCATGTTTGTAAGTCAAGAGCGCCCGTTCCTCTATAGATTGCATTACAATTTCAGCAACTGCAACAGAAACGGGCGAGCCCATTGCTGTCCCATGTAATTGTATGTAGTGTGTTCCTTTGTATTGGAAGTAAGTCGAGGTGAGGCAGAGCTCTAGTAACTCCATAATGTCTTCTGTCGGTAATGGCAGTACGTCCGTGGTGTTTGTAATAAGGATTTTCGTACAAGTAAGTGCCAGATTAAGTGGAATACTGGTGAACAGTGATTTCACATCAAAAGACACTAGTATATAGTTGTCCGGTATTTGTATAGTGCACAGTTTTTTTAATGAAAGTTTCAGTGGATTGTAGCTTGTGTTTCGATTTGTTTGTAAGTTGTTGCAGTATGTTAGTCAAGTACTTTGAAAGTTCGTAAGTAGGCGAACCACAAAATGATACAATTTGTCGCATGGGTATTTGTGGTTTGTGAAGTTTTGGTAGTCCGTATAGTCTGGGTGGTCGTGGTACTGAACATCTGAGTCGATAGTAGATACGTTCAGATATAATGTTAGATTTTCTCATAGAGAAGATCTTGCTGTTAAGTTTGCGTACTAGTGATGGTGTTGGGTCTCGTTTGAGTTGTTCGTACGTTTGTCTGTCGTTAACAAGGGTGTCCATTTTGTTAAAGTAATCATTCCGTCCTTTGTCTGCTGGTAAAATGACGATGTTGTTGTCGTGTTTTAGTCGTTTGAGTGCTTGTTGTTCGTCTTTTGTCAAGTTGTTGTCACGTATAGAGGACGATTGTAAAGTGGAGGCTATCCTGCTTCTGATCTCGTCTTTGGTTGTCTCTGACAAGTCTCTTTGATACGCTAGGACAGCTTTGACACTTGATACTATCGTCTCAGTCGGGATTTGTCTAGGTGTTATGGAATGTTTTAGTCCGTAAGATAGTAGTTGCGTTTCAGTTTCGTCTAATGAGCGGGAAGAAATATTCCTCACCCAGCTATCGTCATGTTTATGTCTTGTACGTGTTTTAGTTTGTTTTAAAAGTTCAAGTTTTTGTTGTTGTTTGAATTGGTGTTGTGTCTCTGTCTTGTTTGCTCGTTTCTCTGCAATAGTTTGTATCGTAGAAAGTAAAGTATCACTTACTGTCGTTGGTATGAGTTCCTTCAGTTTGTTCAGTCTTTGTTCTTGTTGTTTGATGTAATAGTTGATTCATCTGTGACAGTCGTTAATCCGTGCTCGTATCAGTCGTCTGCTGGTGGATTTGAAAATCTGAATAGCCTCTTGTGTGTTCAACGGGGACTTAATTCTAAGTCCTGCCGGAACGAGACCAAAATCCTTGCAGCGGTGGTTGAACCAGAGTTGTTGGGGTATGCGTCTGACGTTGCTTGCAAAACGTATGTAGTCGTCAGCAAGTTGTTCGCTCTGTCGTCCAAATGATCGTAATAAAGTAAATGGTTTGAACAAAAACAGTCCTTCTCAGGACTTTATTAGCCTGGACGATCATCATTTACAAACATATAAACTAACATAGTCAAGCTCACTGTCTGAATTGAATGTTTGATCGTTTGATAGTAGTTTTATAAGCATTATAGAAACTAAACTACAATCCGATGGAATTTATGGAAATCTTTTACAAATACATATATTGACATAAATGCTGCTGCCCAAACTGTGAATTTTTTCAAGAGGGTGAAAAATTTATGAATAAATTGTAAATGCTTGGCAAAGACGATCTCACGAGCGACATTTCAGTCATTGATGTTCAAGAAAAAACCAACATTGTTTTGAGTTTTATCAGCAGAAATTTACATCCAAAATCGTAAGTAAAGGACAAGTGAAGTGTATGCATGAATGTAATATATCAAAGTCAATTTATGCGAGTGTGTGATGCGATTTATGTCAATATGGCGTATGGTAAGCAGATTGATGCTTCTAAAATTGTTGTTGGCGAAGGACTTTTAGCTATGATTTCTTTATTGCTTGGGGAATCGTGGCCGTTATATGTCAGCGAAATCCTACATTCCTGCAAATATATTTCAATGGACAAAAAATCTGTACCATAAGGCGCCACACTATTATTTACTTTATCATAAACAAATGTTTGGTGCTTTTCAGTTCATGATCATTGATCATTCAATCATTGGACAGTTATACTAGACATTGTTTAAGATTTGAGAAAACTAACATTGATTACATGAAAAGCTGTTTACTATAACCTGTGATTTGAGTCTTTTCTAATCCATGAAGCTTTTTATTTTGACAATTTGACTGGAGTGGTATTAAACCTGAGTATTTCACATACATAAAATGTTGTCCCATGTCACACATTGTCCCTTTTCTAACTGAACGCCTCATGTAGAGATGTCAAGTTGTGTTGATCTACGGCTCATAACAGATTGTTTGCCATAAATTACAAAGGGCTATTGATGTATGAAAAGCATTTTCCATAACGTAAAAATGTCTTCCTATGTATGCAGATAAACCTTGAAATTTAGCAAAACAGCAAAGTATTTTTCATGATCACTAGGAAATTTTTCTGTTGATCATTCTAATTTCTAAACTAACTTATTGCAGATTTACATTTAAACAAGCTTTGATTATATGAAAAGATATTTATCATAACCAGTAAGCATGACACATGAACCAATTTTAACATTCATGTAATTATATAATTAAAGACATGTTGGTTACATTCTGTTTGTATTTGCAAATACAATGCTACTAGTAATTGCTATATAGCACACCTTGCATATACTTACAGAAGATAATAGTCTAGTGAAATGCCTAATAAACATTAATGGCATTAAGCTGTTCTTAATTGCAAATTTTCACTCAGATAATTTTTGCTTAATCTTTGGCAGAAAAAAATTTTGAGTTTTTTCTCAAAATGTGAATTTGCTGGCACTGTATGTGGAGTTTGGTAAAGGGTTACAATAAACTTGCATGGTTTGAAGTCTGAGCTTTTCTATATCTATGAACTGCCACTTGTAGTACCAAATTTCTAACTTAACTCATTACATAGAGGTTTGAATGGGGGTCTCTAGGGGGGACTATGCCTGACAACTTGGTAGAAATTTTTATAGACTATATCTGTTTTTGAATAGCATTATTGTAAAATAAATTTTACGTTCCTAGACATGTTAATGAGCCATATATTTGGCATGAAAATGAGCCTAAGTATTTGGCAAAACATTCAAGTATTGTTCACTCTATTTTTTTTTCAAAAAAGACGTAAGCATAATGTGTTGTTTTTATGCAAGAACGATGCCCACAAAATACATTTTATATTGGTCTAAAGCGCTGAAAATGGAATTTTCAAGGCTCTGAATTTAAAATTTCTCAGGGGAGAATGTCTCAGAACCCCCCCCCCCAGGTGCTGAGGCCTCCGACATTTTATGACTGATGTTTTGAAAAATCCTAGATCCGCCCCTGCTACATATTAAATATGCTGTTTTTGCCTGCAACTGAATAGTCTAAACGATATTTTCCTCTAAGTTTGGAGTAGTGTTTCAATTCCGGAGGATTTACTCATATCGTATGCAAAGTTATGGCACAATACATGGCAGGTAGCTACATAGGAAAATAATGAAGAAATTCCTCATAAATAATAAACATACGATCGTTTATATTTGAAGACGAAAATCACGGAGTTGGTATTATTATCACTGGAGGAGCCAAAAGCAGGTTTAAACATCCTCTTTTGAGTGAAGATGAGTATATAAACACAATAAAAGACGCAGCAAAGGCAGGTTATTGTATTTTGAAGGTATGTGTATGAAATATAGTGTGAAGGATAAAAAAACTCTTCAAGAATTTCCCCTGTTCCTAGCAGCAATATAAGTTAATTGTATTGATTTTCAACAAACTTTTCTGTTATCTTAAAATGGTGGCAATGCTGTTGAAGCTGTTGAAAAATCAGTTAGTGTTATGGAGAATTGTGAGTTATTTGAGGCAGGTCGTGGATCTTATGTGAATGCCAGCAGGGAAGTTGAATGTGATGCGATTATTATGGAGGGACACACCTTAGATACAGGTTACAATTTTTGACATATTAATTGGGAATTGCCCATGTCAAGAAGGCTTATGATAAGACAGTGTATGATAGATAAAAAAACTTTGAATACAACAAGTACAACAAAGCCAGGTAATGTCTTTAGCATGGGCTATCAAACAAGAAAGCTTCTTAATTTTTCCTATGTGCTGTAGGTGCAGTAATCTCAGGCCGATATTTTAAAAATCCAGTTTGCCTTTCAAGAAACGTTTTGGAAGAAACACCACACTGTGCCCTTAGTGGTTATGGTGCGTTAGATTTTGCAATAAGTATCAATTTTCCTTGTTGCGAACCGAATGAATTAATAACAGAAGACAAAATGCGAAAGCATATTTCTCACGAGCGTTTTAATGACTACGTCGACTTTTTCTATGAGGGAAAACCTATTCCTGATTGGGACAATGAAAATAGCGATAATGCAGATACTGCATGTGCTGTTGCAATTGATAAAAATGGCAACTTGGCGTGTGCCACATCAAAAGGTAATGAATAAATAAGACATGTAGCATGCTTTGATGTGTTCATAGGTGAAGAAAAATCAACATATTAATATGTAAATGACATCCTTTCAAATCTATTGTTGTTATCAATTATAACATGTATAAAGGAAAAGGAGTCCCCTCTCCAAATATCAATATAGGAGGTATCGCAGGGAAAGGTAAAGGTCGTGTTGGTGATGCTGCATTAGTTGGTTGTGGTGGATATGCAAATGATAAAGGAGAAGCTGCAACAACTGGTCATGGAGAGAAGTTGATAAAATTAACTCTAGCACGTCAAGTTGTCATTGAAATGGAAAATTGAAAAAAATGCCCAGGTAGGGTGAAAAATCGATAATTTATTTCTACGTTCAGAAATTGTTGGGACTTACGGGTTAGCATTGAAGCATTACACAGTAAATTCCAAACGCTAATGATGTTGACAAAATTATGTGATTTACATTTGGAACTGTGCAAACTAGATCTATTTCAATTTTATAATCTTAAATGTAAGTGTACATGTCACACAATTTTATTTTCACGCAATGTCACGCAATTTTATTGACTTAAATGTAACTGTACATATGTATGACAGAATTTACGAGAGATTGTATATTTTTTACAAAAGGAAGCAACGGAAGAAGCTGTAAAATTACTTAAAGTAAAACTGAAGGGACATGGAGGAGCTATTGCGATTGACAAAAACGGATTTTTTTGGAAAAGCATTTTCTACTCCCCTAATGTCTTGGGCTAGCATCAAAGATGATCAGTTGATAGGGGGATTTAAGAAAGATGAAGAAGGAAATGCAAAATTACTGTATAATCAAAGACTGTAGAATTAATAAACCAATGGCCATTATTTTATAATTCAGGAAAATATTTTCTTGATATATATATTCATAATCATGTACACATAAATATTTATTCCAAAACTCTGCACCAGTCGGCCATATCATGTTTTTTCCACTCTTGAAATTTAACATTTGAAACTAACAATACAATAAAATATAATCACATAGTGTTCAGGGTGCTTACTGAAAACAATAAATACAATAAATGTCATACATTCCTTCAAAATATAGTATAACTGATTAATAAAAAAACAATAATTGATAAGAGTTTATGTTCATACAGTGTAGTCGCATTTGTAACTGATGATGTCACCATGTGAGCGGTTCTTTAGGTATATATATTTGTTATTGATAACGTCCCCCAAAAAGTGACAATACAGGGAGCGCTTTCCTTTTCCCAAAAGAAATAAGCTTCAATGTCCAGCATATGCAATGTAAAAATTGAAACAATCCAATCACTAGATCCAATGAAGACAGACTAGCTGAAGAAATACTTGGTATATACGTGCTGTGAAAGTTAAAATTGATTGGCTTATTTGTAATCACATGACTTAAAATAAATGATACATTTCCCCCAATCTATGATCTTCCTCTCAAGGTGCACTAGAGACTCTAGGAAAACAAAAGTCATGAGTTCTCTTAAGAATATAAGATAACTTGATTTAAATGCAGAGCAATTTAAATTGTGTAGATGCATTTTAGGTGTAAAAAACCTCTTCGTACTTAAAATTGACAACACAGGTCACAGTAAATGTTTCAAACATACATTCCATAAATCTTATACATAGTTGTTAAATTACTTTTACTCATCGAAAATTTGCCTTTAAATTTTGAATTCTTAACCCTACAACATCACTGAAACCTCTTAAACAATACATTACTGACGATAATAACCATTGAGCGCGCCGCACTTATTATCTTTAAATGCACGTTTAATAGACACAGCATCAAAATTGTTGAGGATGCGAATACAAAAATCTTGAATCCACCTAAGAAATTTTATTTTCTTGTGAAAATATTGTGAGTTTATTTGTAGTAAAACATTCTTCTTATAGCCCATAACGTACAATTGAAAGATTGCCACCCCCGAATGAGCACTGCATCTAAAGCTCCAAAAATATTAAAAGCGCTGCGGCGCTCAAACGAGTAAATAAGTAATGGTTAACCAATACTTAAATGCGCATGTGTTTCTCGAGTTTTGAGTTTTATATGCATTTGTCTCTATGGCATATACCACTGATGGTATACAGTGCACACTGCTACCACTTACTAATACACCATACACAAATAACTTAATAGTGAAATGTCGAATTCATTAGAATTCAGAAAATAGGAGCACTTATTTCAGTACCTAGTCGTGTATAAAGGAAGATATTGTTGAAAAGCAGTGGTGTACACTTTTTGTAATATTGAAGGGAGTGTGAGGGGCTCGTTCTTACAACGCGAAATTTCTAGAGAGGTTATAGAAGGATTCTCATATTTACAAAAGTAAAGAGGGCTTAAAGTGTATGCTGGGACGTGTATGATACAGAAGTGTATCAAATAGTCATTATTTAATATGACAAATACGTTTAAAAGTCTAATTTGTGGTATTTCGTGCAAAATTTTAATAGAGGGAGGGCTCGCGCCCTAGTTTCTGCCACTGTTGCTAAGAATGAAGAACTTGAAAACGCTATGTGATTCGTTTTTGTCGTTATTCATATCGCCTATCATGCTTATTTATGTACATTGCCTGCATCAATATGAAAGTAAATTTCATAATTTGCTTCGGTGTGAGATGGACAATATAATACTTTAGGGGTGGAATGGTCCAGTAAAGACATTTATCAATACCGTATTATCGATGATCACGGCTTTTCCTATATTTCTTCGAACAAATGGGTTCATGAAGATTAAGCTGTAGCACTCTCACGGGTGCTTTGCCAATGCATACGCGTTGGAATGGGTTGAGTTACTGAGTGGGCCGAGTTGAGCCGAGTACAATGCAAGGTCAAGTAAGTTGCTTTATTTTTGATGAGCTGCTGCTCTATACATGCGGTATGGAAATCAACAATCCAATCTTTCTTGTTTTGTAAGAATTCCAACTACCATTGACCTACAATCTTTGGGGTTTGAATTAGAAATCCATATTTCTTTGGGAACATCAATTTTCCACTAAAGATATCTTGCTATATGTAAATGGAAAGAAAAGGTTCCATCATAAATCCCATCTTCTTAATGAAAATTCGTACATTTATGAGACAAAGTAGAGATTACTTTAGCAAAATGGTATCAAGTGGTTTCATCATGATTAGGTAAGTACTATTATTATGAGCACAATTGGAATAGGGTTATCTAAATCAGAGAGAAGCATCGATATATTTTCCCTCCTGTCTTTCTACTTCATTTAAGTCGAGCCGGCTAGAGAAGTGAGAATTCCGAATGGGTCTCTTTTTCTCATATCTTTTCCGTTCGCTTTCCGTCTTTGCAAGACATCTTCATCGCAAAGAGCCTTGCATCGTAAAAAAGAACTCTGTTAGTAAGTCCGTGTTTTTCACTTATTTTTTAGTTCATACTGAAATGGTATCCAAGAAGTTCTGCTTATTCTTTGTTTTTTTTTGGTTGAAATACAGCTTCAACTTCTCAACTGTGTTCTAACTTATGTACATAAAGTAACGAGTGTAAAGAACATCGTGCAAAGTCTCTCCAGTTGTAAACTTTGAAAATTCAAAATGAAATCTAAAACTCAAACTTTAACTCGAAATATAATTTTTTTTTAGCTTTTGTATTAGATTTATTTTACTTTTATTAATTTATAAATTTCCTTGTTTCGAACGCATATACTTCTTTTGTATCTATGTATAATTTGTTGAAAGGTTGTAAATCATAACGATGGGACACCATAGTCAGCTGACTCAGCTCGAATGTTTGAATATTTTATTAACACAGTCATCATGAGTCTACCTGTACATATTTCATGCTGTAATTAATGTTTCTTACTTAAGATGACGTATAGTTAAGTCAAAATATGTTTGCTCTTAAAGTGCCAATGGCACAAAACTCTTATTCTCTTTATTACGAGTTTTAATCTGGTTTTTTACGTCATTGTATTGTGTCATTCATTTCTCTCCATGGAAAGTACCCTGTCCCCAAATACCTAACTGCTAGTGGTGGGTAGTGGGTTGATATTTCATAATCAATCATTGAATTTGCTCACAACCGATCAACATCATAAAAAGGCATCGTAAAAACCTGTCGAGCTTATTATAATGTTATTAGAACCTACAGAGAAATGTAAATTCATCCCTTTTCTAATCTCTAACAAATAGAGATCAAGTGCATCAAGTTTTGGGTAGCATTTGCCCTTGGGAAAAGCACTTGCTTTTATAGATGGCCTCAGTTTTGTCTCTTTTTATAACTTGAAGCAAATACCTTGATAAAATCTGTTAAGAATGCAATACCTTCATCAGTCTAAATGAGGAGGTCTTCCTCTCAGGATAAATTAAATTTTTACTTGAGGTGTTGGCTTTGAACAAAACTTAAATGAAGCTTAACTTGGAGAGGAGGAGACCAGTTAACTCCTTTTTTTGTTTTGAAGAGCTAATGCTTTGTCAGATGAATGATTTTGCCATTCAGTGGGTGATAGGTTTAGATAATACTTCAATATCCTTGGGAAATTTCATCTAAAATAAATAGTCGGAATTCAGAATCAATGAGAATTGAAGCAAAATTGCGCGATTAGCAATGGCATATCCAGCTCAATAATTGAGAGGGCTAAACTAAGTTGCTTTGAAATCAACTGTTTACTGCAGATTGTAAAATGTATATATGAATATCCCCCTTCCCCCAGTTACTGATGCTAGCTGAGCCACTGATGATTGGATATTTTGGTAAATAGAAATCAATATTGAGTTATATGCTGCCGTTGTATCAAAAGTGAAAATTAATTTAGCCCCCGTAATTTTATTTAACCAACAGTAAAAATTTATTCAGCCCCTATTCTCATTTTAGTCCCTCCTTCAAACTAACAAAATACAATAAGCCTTGTAGAGGGCGAAATGGTTGAAATACAGTATTTGATAAACAAATTATTGAGATATATTGCTGGAAATAATCAATTGCTGTGAATATTTCCAGCAAAACACCACAGATGCACTCACAGTTTGGGTTTCAAACAATAACATGGCTCACATGCTTCTGGCACTAACATACTGGAATTGAACAAGTTTAGTAAGTGGATAAGTCAACAAGATAAGTTAAGTCAAGTCAAGTTAACTAGTTAATTCAGTGGATAATGCCATAACCTTTCATCCAATCCACTAAAATTAATATATGCTGAAAGTAATCGTAGTATATTTCTCATTCTTATGAAACTTGTTTAGACTTTACTTGTTGATGCAAATAGCAACCAACATGGCAAAATTTCAATGTTTTTCACCTATTAAGGGGTTTTACAAATATTATCATTGCATCTTAGAGCACATTTAAGTAAGATTAAAAGTATGTATTCAATTCGTTATTAATAGCAAGTTTGCTGCATTTAACCAACTCAAAACCGCTGATGGAATGGACTGGTTATAGCTTCTACAAAATGTATAAAAAAGTAAATCAAACATTTATAGGTAATCATGCATCTAACATTGTGTTTTGCAGTTATAGTTTAATTTTGAATATAACAAGAAAAAGCAGCTTTTTGTTTCTGACTTTTCAATGATATTTTTATTATTTCATAAAATGCAGCATTAATTAAGTAAAATGAAATTACAATGTGAAATACATTATTCCACGAGTGAGAATTCCATACAATTGATGATTCTCTATACATGATACAACACAGCAAAAACCTGCTGTTCATTTGCTTTTGTTTGAAATGGCAGCGAAACCTTTTTAACAGTGGGAAATGCAAACAATCAAGTACTCAATCATTTCTGATTGTTATGCAAGCACAAACAAGTCAATGGAAGGAGCACCTTTCTTTCTTGTATAGAACACAAAATATCCACTTCTTTTTTTACACACTATATGTGTAGCAAAAATGAAGTGTAATTAATGTATGGTAGATATTGTGCAGGAATCAAAATTTAAGGCCTATCAAAACTTTCTACCAACCTCAACTATCCAACATGGATAAAACAATGCGAATCAATTTGACATTAATTAATCTTGATAGCTGTAAAATGTTGTCATCAACATGTTTTAAAAGTTATTTATGCAAGAATCTCTCCCAACTAACAGTGGTATGCAACTGATCCATGCAAGAATCTCTCCCAACTAACAGTGGTATGCAACAGATCCATGCAAGAATCTCTCCCAAATAACAGTGTAACCCTTTCCGTGTTTTTTTTTTCATTTATATTTTTAATAAATCGTCTCCATTACTCGTGCTCTGGAAGGGCACGTAGAGGTTTCGGCTGTGGTCTCGCTCATTGCGGTGTCGAGAAATCGATTTTTTGACCCAGAACGCTTTGTGCTTTTACAATATGGCGACTGCAAGGAGTGACAAAATATAATTAGAAACATACAATATTCGGAAACGTTTACTACGAAGCGCTATAGCAAAAGATATAAAGAGCTAAGGAAAATTGATGAGGACTTGATGAATAAAACGGAGGAACTTAAAACCGTTCTGAGCTAAATAGATTGGCACATCTTGAATAAAGCCCTCAAGAAGAATGTCGACGAAGAGTGTAACAAAATATTTTCGACACACCGTGATAAACTCAATAATTTAACCAAAAACATATAAAGACACTGTCAAAAGTTTATCATCGGTAAAACTGAGTTTAGACGAACTTGATACTTTAAAAAACGGTCTTAATTTCAGCATCAAACGTCGAAAACTCCACTCCTCTGATATTCTGGCAACATTCGCATGAATTCACTATACATTATGAAATAAACTCATCAAGCAAAAGACTACTCAAACTTAAAACGGAACTTGAACATTAGGCACACACAAACGTATCATCATACCGCACAACACCTAAAGAACTAAAGAAATAAGTATCGTCCTACCGCACAACACCTAAAGACCAAAAGAAATACGTATCGTCCTACGGCATAACACCTAAATATCTAAAGAAATACGTATTTTCCTACCCCACAACACCTAAAGATCTAAAGAAATACGTATCGTACTAACGCACAACACCTAAAGATCTAAAGAAACGCGTATCGTCCTACCGCACAACACCTAAAGATCTAAAGAAATACGTATCGTCCTACCACACAATACCTAAAGATCTAAAGAAATACGTATCGTCCTAACGCACAATACCTAAAGATCTAAAGAAATACGAATCGTCCTACCGCACAACACCTAAAGATCTAAAGAAATACGTATCGTCCGACCGCACAACACCTAAAGATCTAAAGAAATACGTATTGTCCCAACGCACAACACCTAAAGATCTAAAGAAATACGTATCGTCCTACCGCACAACACCTAAAGATCTAAAGAAATACGTATCGCCCTACCGCACAACACCTAAAGATCTAAAGAAACACGTATCGTCGTTCCGCACAACACCTAAAGATCTAAAGAAATACGTATTATCCTACCAAAAAACACCCAAAGATCTAAAGAAATACGTATCGTCCTAACGCACAACACCTAAAGATCTAAAGAAATACGTATCGTCTTACCGCACAACACCTAAAGACCTAAAGAAACACAACATTCTACGCAACATTCGAAACAATGATAATGTCTTTGTCCTTAAACCTGACAAGGGCAATGATGTTGTCATTTTAGACCGTCAGGTATACACTAATTCATCCCACACCATCATTAGCAATACATATAATATCAACCACTTCCTCATGACACTACGATTTCCCGTGAAGCAAAACTACAAGTACTACTACGTCAATTAAAGAAGAAAAACTCTATCAACCTAGTTGGTAACAACTAATGTAACACCTAAGAAAAAACTTAACGCAACACTTGAAAGAATTAAACGTGGGGAGTAAGATTTGTTTATTTTAAGGCTTGACTAAAAAAATTATGAGCAACACTATAAAAAAAACATAAGTTATTGTACACTCACACTTTAGATCAGGCTTTAAAACTGCCATATGTACACTCGAGAAGCTCACCTTCCTTAACGCTCCAAAAACACACTAAAAGCATAGGATATTAGATATAAAAACCAAACAGGGCCACCTACCACAGAATGGATTAAAATTGGGATCATCATCATCAAAGTTCTGCAACGCGATCCACATCATAACAAAGTTTACAGATTTAAAGAATCACTAGAAGAGCAGAAATGTTTTCACTATTTAACATCAGTTAAAGAACAATAACCCATATACACTAATGTTAATGAACTGTTCATGATGACCAAATATACACCTGATAAAACTATCTCAACCAAATCTCACCAATAAGCAGCAATCCATGGCCCCAAAAACCACTTCCAGAAACGACAAAAGAACAAGGATGGTAGAGACCTTCACCACTACAGACTGCAAAAAGAGTGAAAATATCTTTACCAGCGCAAACCATTAGACCAGCAGAACCAAACCTGCTCGAACTAGTAACCACAAGCATAGACTAACTTGATTACAAAAAGAAAGGACTACAGTAGAAGCTTTACACAATGAGCGAATAACACAAAGCTACCTATTATCTGCAACTGTACAATTTTACATCTTTAAAAAAGTTAGGGAGGAAGGATTGAGCTATTATATTTCCCTTAGTTAATATGGAGCGTGCACTCAAATTTTATTGTTTTCTATCTTGTGTATAAAAACAAAATCTTTATATTGTTTTTGTTGGAAACATTTGACAAAGATTCATATTTCGCAAAAAAAAAGGCTCAGTCCTATCTAGAAAAATGCCAAAAATTCGATGTCGATAAAAATAAGATCATTTTCTTCTTTATTAAACGTCTTTTGGTTTAACTGTCGCTAGTGATAAATATGAAATAATTTATAGCAGCATTTTAGATCAGAGATTACTGGAGTCACATAATTCAAACACACACACAAAACGCAAAAATTTTTCAACAAAACAATTTCTTTACGACTACATTCTATAATACAGTGCAAATATAATAAAAGTCATGCAAATGCTTGTTAATAAAATCAACTAAAATTATTTCATTGTATGTTTTTGCAAAATTTTTGACACACATATCAACTGCCTGTTTTTGTCCTACAAAATGAACAATTCATTTTCTTCAAATGGACAGTAATATCACATATACATAGTTCCATACAACAATAAATCATTGACGAATAATGCAACTAGCCCACTCGTGTTAGTCCTGCTATGCAAATTTTTGAGCATCATCGTAATTCATTTCTCTAGAATACGTTAATTTCCAATTTTTAAATTTGCACAACAAAACTTAATGAGTGAACTGGCTACACTACATTTATTGACGACATATATAAAGAAAACCATGGAAAATTTCGAAAACAACAATTGAAAAATCCTTAAATAACTTAAGTTCCTGAGAAAAACCTTCAAAGTGTCGTATACTTCTCGTCGTTGTAGATTGACGTTACTTTTACATATTGATGTTGCTGTAGTCTAGACATACTATTTATATGAAGCAAAGTAGACATGAAACTGTCACTCCAGGTTGAGGCATCGGCAAAAATGGTGAACGATAGCCCATTGGCTACAAGACCTTTGTAATCATGCGACATTCTTCTATTCTCTCTCACAAATGTTCAGTCACTTTAATTGTTTACAGTTTTTTAACAACATTTGAAATTCCCTTGAAAACGGTTGCATGGATGACCATTTTTTCACTTTCACGTTTTAAAAGTGTTGTCAACAAAGTCAATAACCAATATCACAGTAAAATTACAGAGCCTTTGTCTTCCAGTTCTGCTAGCAGATGAAACTTCATGGTTTGTGAAAAATATAAAATACTGCTTTAGTAGATAAATTAGTCATTCCTTTGGTTTGAATTTAGACAGTGAAAATTTTCAATATGCTATAAATTAATAAATATCAAATCTCGTTGGACATCCATTTCCAGTATGCTCACTTATCTTTGAATGAATGATGTTCTTTTAATTGTTTAACACTTTTTAATACAAATACACTTTAATTAAGTTCACGGGCTTCGCTTGTCCAACAATACTAAGTTCTCTTTTGTCGCAGCCCATAAATGATGCGAGTGATTCACAAAGCACAGGTGTTCACAAAGCAAAATTCTTGATTTAAAATTTCTCAGTAAAAGTCATAGATGTATCCTCGAACATCCTTTCACATGCAGCACTGTAGCTTTTGTTCTTTCTTTATATTTGCAAAAGTCTTTATAGCTTTTGTTAACTTTTCTTGTTCGTACAATAACCATAGTTTGGAGCGTTTAGAATCAATGGACACTTGTTTATCACAAAATTGAATGTCCATTATGAAGTCGATTTCTATTGTAGAATTTACTTTTTTACATGTTTCTTCATATTTATTGGTGAACTTGACTTGGTTTTCTATGTAATTGCTTTAATACTTCTCGTTTAAATTTATTTCAGCATTCATACCAGAGAATGTATAGTTGTAAAAGACAGTGTAAAGTGCAGAATGAATAATAGAGTGAATTTAAAATTATTTAGATTGTAATGTCATAGATAAGAGCCTCTTTAACTACAAATTTTAACAATACACATTAACTTGCCTAACCGCATATACATAAGCTTGGTTTTCAAAAATGCTCTACCTTCTTCAAAATAAATCAAGTCAAGATCTTTACGAGCCACAATACACTGCGCTGCCCATGCTTATTGTTAAAATTTATAATTATTTGGCCTACTCAATTGTGCAAGAATTGAATACGTTCGTGCCAAGCTTAACTCAAAACCTTCTAACAGTAATCAAACGAAATACCACTATTTTAATGATTTATACAACATATTTTTACAAATTCTTCTACAAACATTTAAACCGATTCGGGCTAAGAGTTTTGTTCTATGGAATAAGTCCTTTAATGTTTTTTTTTGTTTGTTAACAATTCTTAACTGAGACTAAAGAGAACAGTTAAATCACTTTTTGATTGAGACAGAATGAAACAAAGCACACTGTGTCCAAGATTTCAATCAATTGTTTCGCTGTTTTCCAATTATCAAACAAAAAAGTTGACAACAGCGTTAACAAACGTATCTTTTGACTAACATTATTATGTCCTCCTCACCTTATTGCCTAAGTATGTCCTCAACTAATTCCCAAGGAAGAGGTTCTTTAGCAACTGCTAATGTATTTGAAACTGACTGAAATTTTTCTTTACTGATTTGAAATGAGTCTAATTCGTCACTTATTCTTTTTGATGAAATTTCATAATATTCATTGAGATCCTTGAAAGTGAATTTGCTCAAACGTTAACAATCTCAGACATCGATTTTTCATTGAAAGTGAAAAACGTGTCTTTAAACATCCTTCCATGTGCAACATTATCGTTTGTTTTCTTTCTTTCTATATTGCAAAACATTCTCTAACTTTTGTTAACTTTTCCTGTATCTACAACAACACATGGTTTGGAGTTTTCAATTTCAATGGTTAAATTGTTATAACGATGATGAAAGTCAATCATGAAATCATTTTCTAGTGGAGTTTACGATTTACTTTTTAACAATCAGTGACAAAGACAGCCAAATTTTTATTTTTGCTAGAAAAACATATGGCAAAGGTACCATTGCTTTATTATAAATTTACATTTCTCACATGCATGAAGACGCATATATTCATGTAAGAAAAATAACAATTCGGCTGATTTTGTCTCTTTTAACAACTTAATACATCGATCATTTGTATATCAAAACGCAATAATTAAAATGTATCAAAAAATGCTTTTAGTGCAAGATAAAATTGATTAAATTACTAACAACTTGCTTTAAGTGTAAAATAGTAACAAAAAACGTGCCACGTACAGTATTAAAACCATTCTCCAGATAATACATTTGCATGAAAATTATGATTACATGACGTTTTAACAAAACATAACCTTAGTTGCAATAACAAAAACTAGTTTGCCTTTTCTATGTTTGTGTGACAAGATAAAAGTCAATAAAATTATTTCGTTGTACCTGTAAAATTATTGTCTGACACAAAAGTCGTTTCTGCTGTTGATTTGCCTTCATTATTGCTTTTCAATTGTCATCTTTAATTGATGAAGTTTAGTTTTCCTGCATGATCTCCAAAATTGTTGACATTGATGAAGATGACTACCGCGAAGGTTTTCGAAACGTCAGTCAACAACAACAAAAACAGGACTCTACTAACCTGGACGATCTACATCTACAAACATGTAACAATACTCCCGGGTTCAAACATTTTACTTTATTGTTGACATTATCGTCAAGCTGCAGTCTCTTTACAGAAAAATCAAAGTTAGACAAAGGTCATTTTATAAAACCATACGCAAGCAGGCATTAATTGAAATGTCAACAATGTAGGAGATCATGCATAAAAACTGAATGAAATTATCTTTCAGATAATGTAGTTGACATGTCATGATCAAACATACGGAGAAATTTTATCATCAAAGATCAAATTTATTCTCGTGGCAGGATGATTTTTGCGCATTGTACCGCAAACTTTAAGGAAGAAAAATTTAAAACAAGTTTGCTTTTACGACAGAAATAAAAAGTTGTAGGTAACATACTCACACGCGGAAGATATAAATTTACATTCTTAAAATCTTCTTTCAAATCAATGAAATGAAAGTCATCACTGGTAATAAATCTATCTCCAAGAAAGAAAAAATCAATCATAGATAAATCCTTGGTTAAACTGTAAGTAAAACTATAAATAATTTGTAAGCTTTTAACGTCAAATACTTTCAAATACAGTTTTGGTCCACCTATTAATAATTTATCTGCTGAAGGGGAAAAATCTGCGTGATGAATACTGCCAGTAATATCAGGTATATCTTCAAGGTCTTCACCTGTCATTACTTTGGCGATTTCTCCTTAATTATGTCATTCCAACCATTAACTTGTTTGTCTTCATGCCACATACAGTAAATTATTTGATCCTTAAGTTCAACTTTAGCAAACACGTGATACTTAGAGCTACATGCAAACACGTGCACATTTTGATAATTTTTAAAATTCACTGATATTTCTTTTAGCTTGTTTTCAACATTGAAAACACAAACGAATCAGTTTTTGACAAGCAAATGATACATCACTCACCTCAAAAATTTTGTTTGTACCTTTTAGTTCATCGAAACTATAAACAAGGTTTTGTCAACTCATTATTCCAAAGCTCAGGAATATTTTTACCGTAAGCAAAATAACTCCATTTTCTACAGCAACCATGTCACTAACAAAACATTGCTTGACAACAAAGTCAAATGTGTTGAGATTGTATATGTTTATCCTCGACTTTTTTTCGTTGCACCGATACAGAAATTTTCCATTTGAGCAAAATTTCTTGTTATAAAACTGTAACTCTTAGTTAAACATGCACGCGGTATTGTAATAAGATAAAAGTCAAGTCCGTATTCAAACAAAAGAGCATTGTCGTTATACAAAATAAAATAATACCTTTCTGCTCTATCAAAGGAAAGCTTGATCTGTTGTCATCGAAAGGATCAAGAGGAAAAGCGAAGTTTGGGAATTAAGATCTAAGTCAGGAAGTTTCTCACCAGTGGGATTTACAATGAAAGGTTTACTCATGAAGAAAGGGGGCCAACCACAACACCAAGAATGAAGACCAACAGTAAACAAAATAAAAGCCTTACCGTACTTATCACAAGGTAAATGATCGTCGTCAACGAATATTTCATAATTATTCGCTACATCTAATATTTGAAACGCTATTTCTTCCACAATAACGCACAAATATCTTCCAGAATTAGAAAAACACAGCGAGGTCACATTATTACATCTAATACTGCGTTTCTTCTCACCTTTCTCAACGTCCCATACTGTCAAAGTATCTTTGTAACTAGTGACCATTGTGTACTTATCCTTAGAAAAACATTTGTTGGTAAAGAACTTAGAAGTAGAATCATCACAATGGAACGGACTGGAGGAAATTTTACCATTAATATCTAGTATCTTATCAAGCTGGGAAGCAAAAATCAAATCTTTGAATGGATGAAAGACAACGCAAAAGCCTTTCTCTTTATATTGTTTAAACTGACCAGCAATATTTTTTATCCATAAACATCTGTTTGTTCTCAATGAAAAAAGTTGCACGACGAATCCATAATAACCACAGACGACGTAATCATGATTTCGTGAAACATCAACAGACTTCAAAAAATGAAATAAACGTAATAATCGAGACTTTACAAAACCCGTGTCTCTGCATTCTAGATATGGTGAATCTTTGAAACGCGTTTGAAGCATGTTCGTGGCTTGAGACGACAGATCTTTGACTTCGTTGGCAACGTTTTGCAAAAAATATACTTCATTGTCAAAGCGCATAGAGTACATCAACACAGAATAAACTTCATTAAATAACAATCGAGTGTTCTCAGAAATAAGAAAGTACACATCATGTGCGTTGAATAATTGAAAATTTTCAAAAGTACGACGAGAGTCAACCAACATAGAAGCAACTAAAACGTCCAAGTCAACAAGATATTTACCAACATTTTCAACGATACATTCATTATCAGAAATAGCAAGTAAATGATGCAACCAATAGTTGACTGAATATCTGACTGACGCATGTTTAATGACGTCATAGTTTACACCTTCAGCTTTGAGGTTATCCAAAGAGTTTAAACAAAGTTCAAAAACGAGTCGATGACCGCATAAAGGTTTTATTGAGTAATCATGTTCTCGATCATCCAACAACCAATCATTTAAAGATTTGTGAAAAAACGAAACACATCCTTCTCCATTGCTAACAAACAGACAAGAGATAATTTTTCTAACCCCAAGTGATATACGATTCGAATTCAAACAAAGAACGCCATTGATCATTTTCCAAGGAAGCGGTTCTTTGGCAATAGCCAAAGCATTTAAATTGACTGAAACTTTTCGTTACTGATATAAAACGAATCTAATTCTTTTCTTAATCATGTTAAGCAAATTCGTAATACTCATCGAGATCTTTTGGTATGGAATCTTCCAAAAATCCTGATTTTGACTTCACTGGTAAGAAGCGATGCAAGCAACATAAGTCCGTCAGCTTTTTCTGCCAAAATATTTTTAACATCAGGAAGAATGTCAGTAGAGCCAATTCTTTCTTCAATCAAAATTTAATATCCTTTAAATTGCGTTCATCGCACAATTAATGAACAGAGGATTTAATTTTTCGAATTTATTCAAAGCAACTTCGTTAGGTCTGGTTGTAATTACAAAACGAAAAAATGCGGAAGTTTGTGCAAGTGATTAGCAATCAAATTAGCAAGGTTATGTCTTTCTGGATAACCACATTCATCAAGAGCATCAAGCACAACTAACATTTGCTTGGGAACTTCTGAGATATTATAAAACAACTCGGTGAAAAGAACGGAAAATAATCCTTCAACATTCATGCAATTCAAAGGCTCAGAGAGTTTACCTGAAAGTTTTTTCACAAGAAGTTGTTTGTAAGCAGGAAAGTTACGACTAATTTGCATCGCTAAAGATTGAAGAAGTACATTGGCTTTATTGTAACGACTGTTGTTGTGTTGAAAGAAATGAACTGCAGTCAAATATTGTGAATAACGTTTACATAAAGTAGCTGCAATTACAGACTTTCCCATGCCAGCTACAGCAGAGATAATAAATGCACGATTTTGAGAACTTTCGTCTTCAAACCAATCTAAAAACTCTTTAAAAACCCATTCCCGTGTTCCATGCAAATATTTTTCATAATGATGCCTAATTTCACTTTCAAAGTTACAGCTAACAAGGTTTTTTGTCAAAATATCTTCTTCTGGACGTAAGTGAGGGTGATGTCGTATTTCATGTACTTCTTTAAATAATTCTAAATGTTTCTCTACATCCTCCACTGTTCTCTTAATACCTCTCTGAACAGTTTTGATATCAGTTAAATCGCTCTTTAATCCGTCCCATTCTCTCAAAATTCTTTTATATTCTTCATTACCAAACAACTCTTTTTCAATCTATCTATTTCTTCCTGACTTATTCCTAAACGAACTAATGGTTCGCTTATTTCCAGCCAAAATTTTCAAAGTCATCAGAGCTTACTGAAGTGCTAGGTAAATGAGCAAAACGACCATTACGAAATAACCTGATACGGGTAATATCTGCTTCAGTTGAATGATCATTGACATTAGGCATGTTTCCATATTGGATCACGAGGTGGTTTTAAACCACAAATATTACGCAGGAGAATACAAAGTAAAGTAATGTCAAACTTATTTTCATTTGGTAATATTGGAGGAGGAGGATACAGTAGATCCCATTGATGTTGCTTTATTTGCTTACATTTTAGCGACAAAAGCTTAAGATGATTTTCTGTGTCATTTAAAACATTAAATAAATCAGTACCTGAAAGTTGTTTCCTCAATGTAATCCTTAAAGCTTCTCCACCAACATCAACAATTAATCTCATCAACTTAAAGCCATTAGTTTTCATGTCTGAGCTCAAGACAGACATAATGTTGTTCCTGCAGAAAAAAGTAGGTAAGACTTCCATGGTACAAATTCATTGTGATTATAAAGGAAAATCTGCGGCCGGTTACATGAAGGCAGGAAAGTTTTATCCATTAGATGGCAAATTGTTTTGAACTTTTACAAAATCTCTTAAAAAAGGAATGATATGTGATTTGAACTGAGCAATCATTGAAATAAAGTATTGTTTCTAAGATTACAAAATTTCTTTCCCCTAAGGAAAATATTAACACCTTTTTTTACAAGTTTGAAAATTTTATTATCCGACGAATAATGCTATCCAGGCTTTGTGCAACCGTCCCCAGATACACAACGTACATAAAAATAGGTACGTGTGTGTACATGTGGGTAGCCTTGACCAAAATTACAGTATATGGAACAAACAGTAGTCAGTAGTCCAAGTACTTAGTGTTGTATTTTTCATTAAGTGAAGTCACAAGGCCATTCCCAAGGTCAAGTCCCAAGGTCATTCCGTAATAATAACATATGAAAAATAACAAAAAATATTTTCATGTCAAAATGCCACAAAATGAAATCATTCCTTCTTTTGGCACTTCTCTGGTACAAACCTACGGTGGCTAACAAGGGACACCACATTAAATAATAAGAATCATACAAAATAAAGATATTAATATATACACAAAATACATTACACACATACAAATTAAAACACACACACAAAGTACATTATACACACACAAAATAAAAATATACACACAAAATAAAAATACACACACAAAATATGATCGCGGGCGCTTGCAGTGTTGGATAGCTGACTACTATCAGTTTATAATAAGGTTGTAATCAGTTATGTGTAATTGGGATTTTAATATGTGGTGGTCGACTAGTACTTGTCGTCGTATTTAACAGTTTTACTGCGAAATATTTTAAATGACATTTGGAAAGGAATCGAAAGCAAGTTCTTGCGATACTGAAGCGAAAAACAAATAAGAGAAACAATAAGCAATTATTGGATGAGGTTGAGCATGATATGAAGAATAATTCAGACCGAGTTCAATGTAACAATGTTATCTGAAGAAGCGAAGCTGAGGCAAAAAATCACAATTACACATATCTGATTACAACCTTACAATAAACTGATAGTAGTCAGCTATCCGACACTGCAAGCGCCCGCGATCATATTTTGTGTTCGTATTTTTATTTTGTGTGTGTGATGTATATTGCATATGTATTAATATCTTTATTTTGTATGATTCTTATTATATTGTGTGTTGTCCCTTGTGAGCCACCGTACAAAACGTTCTCTGTGCTGAATGTTTAATAAAATGCCCAGTAATTATCATTATCTCTCCTTTTTAATGCTCTCCAACGCTCAGTGCATGTTATGTGTGCAGGTGTTCACGTGCTAATATCGTGCAAAGGAAGCTTGCAAAAAACAATAAATTTCAATGATAGAACGATAAGTTCTTCGCCATTTTGAATTAAAACGATTCTTTTTAAATGAATATGATATCTTATTTGTCTAACAATGGTGTGGAGAAAAGATGTATTAAATCGGTTTGTAGCGTTGTACGAATATTTGCTTATTGATAGGACTATGTGCAGATGATTCTGTTCCAATTTAAATTTTATGTTTAATGTTAAAATGAGGAGGCATTGCACATGGTACATATATCATTGCTGATGTAGTTATTTTCCATAGAGCCATAATATATTTAAATTCTTCGTCATTTTTGACGATCTGTTAAATCCAAATCGTCGTCATTACTAATGGAAATAAATACAAAGAAAACTATATCCTGTCTGCTTTACATTTTCCTCACCAAAAACAGAACACAGGGTGAGAGATAAACAACGTGATATACGAATAAAATACCGAACAAAATACAAACACAAACTGCACAGTGTAGCTATCAAGTTCCAAGCATTGACTATACTAGACGAAACAATACTATTCGTTATCGTTCGCATTTGCTTCTATGAACGAGGACACAGCCGAAGATATCACGACAGATACTGCCTCACTCAGACACTTTTTCTGTACTGTCACCAAAATTTTTTTTAGAAAAATGAAATCTGTCTATGATTTTAAGCCTTTCTGAGAAAAATTCAAAATTTGGTGAAATCAAGAAGCTTTTATGGCATTTTGAAGTTGTGCATTTTTGCCCAACGTCGTCGATTTCTATAATACAAAAGAAACTGGCACTAGAAGGTATTTTGACGTCATCCAATATAGTCAGCATTCGGGCATATTTAGCTTATATTAAACATATACGTTCTTTCACGCTGTTTAATTATATGTCTTAAGTAAGAGATGAATCAAAATCAGACTTGAGTGTTCAGTCTAATCTCATTATTTTAAGCCCTGGAAAATTGGCATTCTTTTGATTCGGCAAACTACTAAACTGACGCTCCAAATCCTCTGGTTTTAATCGAGCCAAACAAAGTGTTGAAGCACTGAAAGGCTTAAATACGCGCTTTGCTTCAAAACCAGATATTCCGTCTTCGCTTGGCCTCGGGCCTTCTATCATTATAAGACATATTGTGAAGACTCATACGAGAGCAAAGGTTTGACTCATTCGTACAATTGGCTGCAACGGAAAGATTTACCTTTTTTCTGATTTTACTAGTGCAAAGGCAATGCTTTTAGAAGCTTGTAGACTTAAGTTTTGCCTCAGCCAGAATTGACTTTATAGCAATTGAATATATGACTCGTGTAACACGGGTACCTGGATGACGTCAGAAAATTAGCTAGTTTCAGGCTCCTCATTATCACGGACATGGTTCACAAGAATATACCATTTAGTGAATTTAACGCTTTACAAAAATCAAACGATTTGACCAAATTTAAATTTTTGCTCAACGAGGCTTAAAATTATCTTCAGATTTGATATTGCTAAAAAATTTTTTGATGAAAGGACGACTAACAGGTGAAATGCCTATTTTAACAGTATAAAATATAAACGTACATAGAAGGAATAAACATTTTATCAGCCTGGCTTCACCACTGAAAATTTATTCTTTAAAATTCATAACCATTATCATTGTTTAAAGTATTATGATAAAAATGAGCAGGTGTAATTTATTTGGACTAATACTTCATTCACGACTTAGGACCAAGAGGAAGACATAATGTAATAGGGGCACAGTTATAGGAACATATAGTATAATTTTATATTGAACATACAGTAGATTGCATTGAATATTTTTTTGTCATGCATTATCTTAGTCCACAAGTGATTACCATAGTGGCAGTCAGACACAACCATTTTTTGATCAATAGGTGCACTAAGTTGGCAAACATACAGCGTACTATGTTTTCACCAGATTGTAATCATTCACTATTTTTAGTTCTGGCAGTACAAATTAAATTGGCACAATAATTCAAAATTATTGGCTTAAAAATGTGATTTAACGAAAGAAATAGCCCCAATCAACGTTTTTCTTGTAAAACTTCCAAAAACTTGTAACAATTTTAAGGTAGTCGTAAACAAAAACTGTGTTCTCAATGCACAAATGTACTAAAATTTAGCGTTTATCAAAGTTATTCAAAAACGAGTGTGAACGACCAATATGGCCACCGTCTATTTTTAAGGAGAAAACCGCTGAGACTTTTGGCTTAACCTTTGTTACAGATGCGCTATCTAGCGTATATAAGATATCTATGCGATCAGCGCTGAGAAATTTCTTACGCTCTGCTGACGTAGGAGCTTTTTCCAATTGACAGATGAATGGTTGGTTTCAGTGCAATAGACACATCGTCTTTGTTTAACTTCGTGTTGGCGCTTTGTAATGCACTAAATCTGGGATGGCTCAAAAATGATGTTCTTAACGTCATGCTTATCATGAATTTTGATGGCAATTCTCTCCGTCCATTTCCTAAGTGCGTCAGTAAGTTGGATAAATCCCATTGCTTATGATTATCATCCATGCGCACTAAATCACCCCGAAGTGTCTCTAACTTATTAAGTTACATGCGAGCATACCCGTTTACCTTTTAGTTTTCCCATAGTTTCAAGTGATTGAACGGTGAAAAAAGTTTATCATAAATTGCGCGGATCCTAATGCAGTGTGTTCCCGGTATGTTAGGTAAATCCATGATGTTCTGTACATCTGGGCGCTGAATATTTCACTGGTATCTTTAAACTTCACTGTAGGATATTCTTTGCCCGCTGATATCCTTTGACAGAAAAGGCTAAACCGTCTATGCACGATTTAATCTTGAGCAGTAGCAGATCGAGAGGTAGTCACAGCGAGCAGCAGTGAGCAATGGAATTGTCTCGAGGGGATTGAAAATGTAAATATATTCTAAAATGTGCAGCAGTAATTTATTTTGATTAACCCTAGATCCGACACTGCTTGGGAGACAGTAATTTTCCAGCAATTCTTATTCTTTGGTTCTTCTTTCTCCCAAGCACCGTTGGCCTGTTTTACCTTGATCGTCAACTTCAAACAAGCAAATCTCTCAAACTCTAAGTTGATTTCATTTACCCATTTTTCGATTTTGTCATCTTTATCATCTCTCTCAATTCGAAGTTCTTGAATTCTGAGTTTCAGTTGATTAATTTCTGAAATTAGTTTACCTACTGTAGTTTTCTGCCGGTTTTGCTGGCTCAATCTGAAAACAACTTGCAAATTCATTGTGAATTTTTTAGTTCAGAGATCACGCATTAAACATTTATATAGTTTACATTGATATTTCATTTACGTTTGAATTATAATCATATTCCTTAGTTTCACGAAAAATAATTCATAAAGTTCAACAGCTTCTAAAGCTGTTCGTGACTAGTCGGATCCAGTGGAACCTGACTTAATCTAAAATTTTTGTACCATTGACAACTTCAAAAAGCAAAGTACTTGTCCTATAGAAACAACATTGTATTTCACAACGCCATAGAGAATGATCTTCAAGCAACTTTGAACTCTAAAAATCGGCTTTAACATCAAGACCTTGCTCATCACCTTGCTTTTCCTTGAGGCGATTTATATACGTTTCAAAAAGCCTCAGCTCAAGTCTGGACTAAAGGCTGCTGAAGATTTTGATATTTTTTTTAATTTCATTGGTGTAATTCTAGACAGTAACATCTCCTTTCATCGCCTTTCTTTCTTTTCATTGCTTACGTCATTTCCTTGTAACAACTATTTAAGATCACGCATGTTTGTAAACAATGACTTAGCTTGATAATGACTTTGAACTAAAGTCGAAATATTGCTTTGAATCTTGTCTCTTGCTTTTATAACTCGAATTTTGAGTTTACAACATAATGTTTTTTGGAGTGTGTTTATTCCTTTTATGTATTGTATGTTTACGCTCATTCAAAATTAACAAAGAGGTATGTTCAAACAGTGTAAAATGTACTGCCATGTTTCATATTTACTAATATAATTCACTCGCATGTTTATAATATTGACAATAACAAGATAAAAGAAGCATTTATGTATTTCAACTTTAATGAAATCGATGTCATTGTTTGTTACTTGAAAACGATTAAATTCGGTGCAACTGTTAGTTTATTACATAGTTTACTGACAAATTTTCAGTCTTAGAAAACGGATCCTATGAACACAAAGTGAGCGTACGATAGTCTGATTTGCCCATTTAAAAAATCGTATGAAAATAAAGCTTGTTCTATTTTCGGTCTTAGAAAACGGATCCTATGAACACAAAGTGAGCGTACGATAGTCTGATTTGCCCATTTAAAAAATCGTATGAAAATAAAGCTTGTTCTATTTTCATCAAACAAACTCAAAGAAAACTGATTAGTCAAATTACACAGATTTGAAAAGGACAAGTAAAAAAGAACAAAATACGAAAAATATATCGATAAATCTTCTGGATAACACAAATATAAATATCTAAACGAACATAAATATCAACAAAATCATCCGATCGTCTGAGCAAGTAACCAAATTAAAGTCGGAACCGAAACAATCAGATACGACAAATCGGGTCGTGTGAACGGGCCTATATGCATAACAAACGCAAATCATGAATTTTCAGTGCTATGAATGTATTTTAGTGTTAACAGCAGAGAACGTTGATTCCAAGAGAACATAATGCACATTCAAGTATGCATGTACAGAAATAAACAATCCCAAGAATTCAACATAAACTTTTCTACAAACATCTTCTTTCAAAAATGCAATTCTACTTCATTTTACACGCTACATTTAACCTACATGTATAGATAATGTCTTTGGCAGAGTGCTTACATGCTAACTATATTCACATGTAAAATAAATTTTTGCGAAGCATTTTTTGATTGAAGTGTTAAAACATTTTTGTTTACTTTACTACAATTTGGCACATGGAACAATTTAAACAAAAGCATACGATGAAAATCATTTTCATGATAATTTTGCTAAACACCACCACATCAAAAGAAGTAAAATTTTAAGAAGATCCGTGTTTAATCCTCTATCCGTGTTTTAACTCCACATGCGTGTTTTTTCCCAACCCAAATTGGACTATATACCAGACAGACAGTACATCCTACTAAGTACAAGTTGCTAGTACTAGTCGCTGGAAGGGATAAAATTGATATTTGTTATCGCTTGCGTTAATATGTGTGAGCTAAGAAATATTTAATACGCTACGTCCGAATTACAATTTGCCAACCTTTTGAAGTTAGTAAAGATAAATTCTTTGATTAAGTACCTAGTCTTAAATTAATAAGAGAAAGCATCGTCCAAATGAGCTATAAAGGTTCGGAAAGATAAACATGCCATTAAACTGAGGTCAAATTTATAAATATAATACTACAAAAATGTACATAAATGTAGCTCAGTAAAACCTTTCACTGCTTTCTATTGTATTAAAACATGAAGTATATGAAATAAACAAGCAAAGTAATTGATTATTTGTGATAGAGCAACTATGAAGGCTTTATTATTATTCATTCGTTCCTTTGTTGCAATTCTAAATGTCATCATGCCATGTACAAAGTAAGCACAAAGGTTGTATGCTTAAAACAATCATATGAACGAGTCAAAAATCTGAACATGAAGCTAGTATATTTATTGGTAAAAGCAAAGTCACATAACAATGCCCCTACTTCTTATCAGACGTGTGTACACAGCTAGCAAAATTATGTGATAGTTTTTGCCTCAATCCATGTCAATAAACTTATGGCAGTGTAGGTATATAATTCATCGTGAATATCCCACATGATTCAGATATCATTCCATTTGTAAATTGTTCTGTTTACCCATTTAATACAATGTTCTTGTAGCTTGGTTAGCAGTTAGAGCATTTTAATGTATAATTCTTAATATAAAATGTTTGATTTTGAATTAAATGTGTATTTTGTAATGGTGAAGGATGAATGTGTATAAATGCTCATCTTTGCAAAATTAAGTGTCTTGCTACATATATATGTGGCACATTACACTAAAAATTACTGAAATCAATTGAATTAGTACACGAATGCATACATATCAGTTTAAAAATCATAATCATCATTCATACTTTAATGGTACATCAATCTTTTATCCATGTAAGTTTTGTTACATAAACACATTTAAATTGCGAACGAAAATGAAGAGTGAATCAGGATCTCCATCAACAAATAGTCTAATAACACATCAATGACATCCATATAGAACATTCTAGTTATATAACTAAGTATACATCATTGACTAAAACAATTGTTATAGAAATAAAAATACATAAATAAGAACCTCATGCAGAGTACATAATTACATTGAGTTTAGTCAAATTCAAAGGACTACTGCTAAATCTTATAAAGTTTCACAAGTTTTAACTCAAGAATAGAAAATCACCTATCTAAGACAGGATTTGAATGTTAATGATTAAGACACGATTTTCGAAACTGTGAATGGATCTTTTCCTTCATTAATCCAAAATTCCATACATGTATATTCTTGCATAAGTCAGTTCGTAATATAAAAACCTTTGTTATCAAATAAACCATTATAAATTATGAATACGTGGCAAACATCAATTGCACGCAATTATAATTACTTATGATCAATAAAACACTGTAGATACAACAGTAAAGGATGCAATGAAAGTAAACCTTAAAACTGTTAAACAAACATGATCAAAAGTATAATTTTAAAAGCTCACAGTGTTGCATAAATCAACATTTCACAAAAATAGATTCGGTTGCGTTCTTTCTCTGTGTTAAAACATTCTTCCTATAATTAACATTTGCTCATTTTACAAATGTTCTTACTTTTAAAATGAATGGTTTGTTCAATACAATTAACAACATTTTGTTTGACACACAGGGGATTAGTCAAAAGTGGCGTTGGAAAAGAGAGGTGATGCATGATTGGACATTCTATCCTCCCTACATAAATTTTCACAGATTCCCATTTTTTCCATAGACAAGTATGCTATTTCACCTCTCCTATACCTTTGAATGGGTTTTGCTTTCCTTTACCATGCAGCTTATTGTCAATAGTTAGAAAGTTGGTATATCACTTTAGATATGATTTCTCATGCATGTTTAGTCATACTTTATCGAGATGCTGCTTTAGCTAATTTGTTATGTCGGTAATGTAGTTCTAAAATATCGCTTAATTTTTCTGAAATTACCCTCGTTTTAGAAGTAAGACGACCGTGTGAACAAAATTATGCTTGCTTTAGTTCTTTACATGTCACAAACTCAACAAACGGACGAGAGATTTAATATAAACAACGCGACCACATACATATTAGTTAAAAATGGTGATAACTATTCATACCTTATTGTTACATCAATCTTTCATCCATATAAGTTTTGCTTTATAAACACATTTAAATAGCGAACGAAAATGAAGAGTGAGTCAGGATCTCTTTCAACAAACAGTATAATAACACATTAATGACATCTATGTAGAACATTCTAGTTATATAACTAAGTATACATCACTGACTAGAAACAATTGTTATAGAAAGAAAAATACATAAATAACAACCTCATACGAAGTGCATGATAACATTGAAATTATTCAAATTCCATAGGACTAATGCTAAATCTTATAAAGTTTCACAAGTTTTAACTCAGGAATAGAGAATCACCTATCTAAGACAGGATTTGAATGCCAATGATTAAGACACGATTTTCGAAACTGTGAATGGATTTTTCCCTTCGTTAATCAAATATTCCATACATGTATATTCTTGCATAAGTCAGTTCTTATTATAAAAAACCTTTGTTATTGAATAAACCATTGTAAATTATAAATACATGGCAAACATCAACTGCACGCAATTATAATTACTTATGATCAATAAAAACACTGTAGATACAACAGTAAAGGATGCAATGAAAGTAAATTTTAAAACTGTTAAACTAACATGATCAAAAGTATAATTTTAAAAGCTCACTGTGTTGCATGAATCAACATTTCACAAAAATAGATTCGGTTGCGTTCTTTCTCTGTGTAAAACATTCTTCCTATAATTAACATTTGCTTATTTTACAAATGTTCTTACTTTTAAAATGAATGGTTTGTTCAATACAATTAACAACATTTTGTTAGACACACAGCGATTAGTCAAAAGTGGCGTTGGAAAAAGAGAGGTGATGCATGATTGGACATTCTATCCTCCTACATAAATTTTCACAGATTCCCATTTTTCCATAGACAAGTATGCTATTTCACCTCTCCTATACCTTTGAATGGGTTTTGCTTTCCTTTACCATGCAGCTTATTGTCAATAGTTAGAAAGTTGGTATATCAATTTAGATATGATTTCTCATGCACGTTTAGTCATACTTTATCGCGATGCCGCTTTAGCTAATTTGTTATGTCGGTAATGTAGTTCTAAAATATCACTTAATTTTTCTAAAATTACCTTCGTTTAAAAGTAAGACGACCGTGTGAACAAAATTATGCTTGCTTTAGTTCTTTACATGTCACATACTCAACAAACGGATGAAAGATTTAATATAAACAACGCGACCACATACATATTAGTTAAAAATGGTGATAACTATTCATACCTTATTGTTACATCAATCTTTCATCCATGTAAGTTTTGTTACATAAACACATTTAAATAGCGAACGAAAATGAAGAGTAAGTCAGGATCTCTTTCAACAAACAGTATTATAACACATTAATGACATCCATATAGAACATTCTAGTTATATAACTAAGTATACATCACTGACTAAAACAATTGTTATAGAAATAAAAATACATAAATAAGAACCTCATGCAGAGTACATAATTACATTGAGATTAGTCAAATTCAAAGGACTACTGCTAAATCTTATAAAGTTTCACAAGTTTTAACTCAAGAATAGAAAATCACCTATCTAAGACAGGATTTGAATGTTAATGATTAAGACACGATTTTCGAAACTGTGAATGGATCTTTTCCCTTCATTAATCCAAAATTCCATACATGTATATTCTTGCATAAGTCAGTTCGTAATATAAAAAACCTTTGTTATCAAATAAACTATTATAAATTATGAATACGTGGCAAACATCAACTGCACGCAATTATAATTACTTATGATCACTAAAAACACTGTAGGTACAACAGTAAAGGATGCAATGAAAGTAAACCTTAAAACTGTTAAACAAACATGATCAAAAGTATAATTTTAAAAGCTCACAGTGTTGCATGCATCAACATTTAACAAAAATGGATTCGGTTGCGTTCTTTCTCTGTGTTAAAACATTCTTCCTATAATTAACATTTGCTCATTTAACAAATGTTTTTTCTTTTAAAATGAATGGTTTGTTCAATACAATTAACAACATTTTATTAGACACACAGCGATTAGTTAAAAGTGGCTTCAGCAAAGAAGGGAGGTGATGCATGATTGGACATGCTATCCCCCCTACATAAATTTTCACTGATTCCCATTTTTCGTAGACAAGTACGCTATTTCACATCTCCCATACCTTTGGACAGGTTTTGCTTTTCTTTATCACGCAGCTTATTGTCAATAGTTAGAAAGTTGGTATATCAATTTAGATAAGATTTCTCATGCATGTTTAGTCATATTTTATCGAGATGCTGCTTTAGCTAATTTGTTATGTCGGTAATTTTGCTCTAAAATATTGCTTAATTTTTCTAAAATTACCTTCGTTTTAAAAGAAAGACGACCGTGTGAACAAAATTATGCTTGCTTTAATTTTTTACATGTCACATACTCAACAAACGGATGAGAGATTTAATATAAATAAGGCGACCACATACATATCATATAAAAAATGGTGATCACAGTTCATGCCTTATTGAAACATTAATTTTTTATCCATGTGAGTTTTGTTACATAAACACAATAAAATAACGCGCGAAGATGAAAAATGAGTCAGGATCTACTTCTTTATACAGTATTATGAAACATTAATGACATCTATGTCACAGTATAGGCATAGAATAAGAAAATAAAGAAGAGTCACTTGTGTCGGAACCTTCGATGTCTTTGTCCTCGCGCATGTCGTGGTATAGGGAATATACAGTAGGTCCACTTCGTGTGCAACTGGCTGCTGTATATTTAATTAGATTACTGGCTGCCGTTAGGCATTTCATCATTCCTTTTCGTCAAAAAACGAAATTGACTTGCTGCCACTATGGTAATCGCATGCGTAATAAGATATGTGTGGCACGAAAATTTTAATAAAGTGGCTCTACTGTATGTTCTTCTATAGTGTACCTATGTAGAACATCTCAGTTATATAACTAAGTAAACATCATCGACTAAACATCATTAAGTACCGCATACAGGGTGATTAGTTGAGATTAGTCATATTCCAAAGGACTATTGCTAAATGCAATAAAGTTTTACAAGTTTTAACTCAGGAGTTGAGGATCAACTATCTAAGACAGGATTTTGAATGTCAATGCTTAAGACACGATTTTCGAAAACGCAAAGGTTTTTTTTTCCATTCATTAGTCAAAATTCCATACAAATAGATTTTTGCATAAATCATTTAATATTATAAAAAATCTTTGTTATTTAATAAGCTATTGTAAATTATAAATAATTTTTAAGCTCCAACTACACGGAATTATAATTACTTATGATAAAAAACACTGCAGACACAAGAGTAAAGAATGTAATGAAAATAAAATAATGCTTATCCCAAATGTGTAGTAACGATCAGAAACACATTGTAGTTGAGTCTCAGTACGCAAATTTAAAAGATTAGTGGTACCAGTAAGTGAAATAACACACACAGAGATCATTTACGATTTCAAAAAATGAATGCTTTAAGAGAGTTAAATCACAGAATAGGAATATACTGTAGGACCCCTGCGCTGTACAACTGGCTGCTGTATATTTAATTATGGGTTGTTCATATGAGCTCAGGGCCGGGATTCAGCGGAGAGTTAAAACATTTTGGCAAATGGAAAAGATTAAATACTTCACAACAAAAATCTTATTTGAGCCATTTCTCCGTAATATGACTTTGGAAATTCACAAAACCTTTAAAATG